TGGCATTAATAGAAGGATGCTGAGTTAGTGTTTGCAGAGATCGGTGGCTGCAAAGAACTGTGTCCATTCCCCTGCCCTGCAGCACTTGTGCGTCTTTTTCCTGTGCAGGGAGGTGTCAGCTCAGGCCCTACCGCGGTTTGCACCTGCTCTGCCCGGCTGGAGAAGACACTACGTGGTCTCCAACAGGCGAGAGTCAGGCCCTGACCGTTGTCACTTGGGCTCTGGAATCCCAGTGCAGGGGCCAGGAATACTTGCTCCCACAGACTCGCCCTGCAGTGGGGTTGGCTAATCCAGCTGCCTTTGCTTTGCCCAGTTGCTGCCGGCACCATGTGCTGTTAATGCAGGCTCTGCCGGCTCTGCCAGGGAGGAGCCGCAGTCACTCTAGGGCTAAGAGTACAAGGGACAAAGTCTTTGCTGGTGTAAATTAGCACAAACAGAATTTGTCCCAGAGAGTCTCCTGCCACTAAGGAGTGAGCTAGTCCCATAGGTTCGAGCCCTGCCATCCCCAGCTGGCACTGACAGACGCAGCCCTCAGAGGGACGTGTTTGTTCCTCCCTGCTAGGCCAGGGTCTAGAGATGCCCTTGTGGCCCTGAGACCTCTCTGGGACCACGTCAGAACAGCATGCTGGGATCTGGGCCTTGTCTGCAATAGGGTGAAACTCTGGACTTTACTCCATGAACTGGGGACCTTCACCCGTGCTGCCCAGAATGGCTGGACAGGACCAGGGCTGAGGGGAGGCCTGGGGAGAGACTACTGTGCTATTGTGTGTTTTTTATCCCTTGCCCATCACTGTGGTGTCTGCCTTGCAGGACTGGGGTCCTGGTGCTGCCGTCCCTTCTTCGGCCCTGCTATTCTGGAGGGGGAGGCTGCCACGGACCCTCTCCAAGTCCACACAGGGTGTGATGTGCTTGCTCCAGGGTGCAGAGGAGCATCCAAGCCCCTGTGGCACCTTGGCCTTCTGCCCGGGGCACTGGCACCCACCCAACAGCATGTCAGCACAGCTAGTTTTGCTCTTCGATAACATTCACTGCAGGGTTGGCTCTGCGGATCTGGGTCCCACTTCATTCCCAGTATCTGTCTGGCCTGTCTCCCTGTAGGCGCTAGGAGGCCAGCTCAGACTGCAACACCCTGCATTGGGTCTCCGTTGCTGTGAGCTGAGCACACCGTGCCCTCAGCGCTCCTTGCTGCCCAGGCAGCCAGCGCACTTGTGATGTTTGCTGTGTAAACACACCGGTGGCTGGAGGAAACGGGCGCCCTGGCGAGTGACCTTGTGCAAGGCTGGGGGGATTTGTGAGACCTGCCCACAGCAGAGGAATGCTGAGCCAATTGCTTCCTACCCATCCCCTCGAGTGGGGACAAACTGTCCAGCAAGGGACCCTCCTCTCCATATATTCACATGGAAACAGACGGAGAACACTATCCCTCAGCTGCATGGGGTTTCTATGCCTAGGTGTGACTGGGTGCTACCCCTCTGGGCCATCCTGGGTCTGGCTGGGCGCTGCCCCTCTGAGCCATCCTGGGTCTGGCTGGGCACAGCCCCTCTGGGCCATCCTGGGTCTGGCTGGGTGCTGCCCTTCTGGGTCATCCTACGACCCCCAAGGGGCCCAGTCCAGCTTGCCCTGTTGGTCCCTGTAGGGTCCAGCTCCCCAGATACTGTTTATCTGATTGATGTCCTAAGTCCCTCAGCAAACCCTTGTGAGCAAACACAGGCTTGGAGGGAGGCTGCATATCCACAGCACTTCAGTGAAGCATTAACCCTTCAAATGCTGACACTTTCCAGCCCAAGCAGTGCTCCGAACCACAGGATGATGACGGGGCAATGTCTCTCAGGGTCTGTACAGCGCCCAGCACAGCAGAGCACGGATTTCATTGGGCCCCCTGGGCACCACCCCAAGACCAATATACCAGATAAGAATGCCCCTGCTTGTGCAGGGTTATTCCCTACAATCCAGTCCTGCTCTGTCTCTGGCTGGCTTGCGGGGAACAACACTTTCTAGTCCATTCCAGTGACAAATAGACCATAACTCAGCAAATGTTTCCTGACTCTTGGGCCGAGACAATTAAAGAGCCAGGGAATTCGCTGAGGACCGGCGGGCAGGGACGCTGCAGGGCAGGGAGTTGGGGCGGGTGCAGAGCCAGCTGAGTGCCTGGGAGTAGGAGAATTCCCTCTGTGGGAAAGTTATTGTATAGCTGGGGGTTTCCCTCCCTCTGCGGCTCTGATGGCGCTCAGGAGCGCCTGCACGGTGATGAGTCTGCTCTGCAGCCCTGCACAGGAGATGGGGCCGGACGATGAATCTCATGCCGTGGCTAGTGGAGGAGAGTCGAGCCTTGGGAGTCGGCAGGGAGCTGGTTGACCGTGGGTTCTGACTCCTCTCCTGGTTTCCAGCTGCTAAATTCCATTGGCCCCACCCCAACCAAAGGCGACTCGAGGCAGGGCTGCTTGGACATTTGCCATCGAAACATTTTTCAGTGGAAAATGCTTTTTTTCACTGAACAAGAATTTGTGAGGAAAGGATCTGCTGTGGGAAAACTGAGCAGCTGAACCCAAGGCCAGGTGCTGTAGGCAAGGCAGGGGGGCCAGGGCTTACAGATTTCATCCTTCAACATTATTCAGCGATTTCCAGGTCTGCAGATAAACACTGCACAAATACACAGTCTGCAACACCCAATGTGTTGGTTCCTGTAGTTACATAATCAGCCAGTCAGGGAACAGAAACTATACCATGTGACATAGGGCAGATACTGGGAATACCATAACCAAATAAACAATTGAAAATGGGCGCTCCATTGGCTAGGGACACAAGTCACATGGTGTTGTTTCTGCTGTCTGATTGGATGTCTTGTGTAACTTACCGACCTTCTACAAATTGCAAATTTTGAAATCAAATGTGCAATTTGCCATGTACTTTCTGTGAATGAGATTGGCAGAGACCCTGTTTTTTCCCCCTTCCTCTGCAGCATGGGTCACAGGTCACCTGCAGGTTTAAACAAGAGTAAATGATGGATTCTCTAACTTTAAGTCTTTACATTGTGATTTGAGGACTTCGGTAACTCAGCCAGAGGTTAGGGGTCTATTCCAGGAGTGAATGGGTGAGGTTCTGAGGCCTGCGATGTGCAGGAGGTCAGATTAGACGATCATGATGGTCCCTTCTGTCTATGAGACATCAGCATTCAGCACGTATTAGCGGGAGAGAAGCCTGCCTGCTCAAATGCTCATGGAAAGCGGGTGTGAAAGGCCACGAATGTTGGAGAGGCACCACTCAAGTTTGAACCCCAGCAAATATAAATATGTGTGGGAGGTGGGGGACCGGAGGAGAAGGGGTCAGGGAGAGGAACAGCAGGGCAGCGGAGAGCAAAGCAGGGCTTGGATCGAGGTACACGTGCCTTGTGCTCAGGATCAGAGGGCTGGTGCCGGGCTCTGCTTCAATTGCTTTTTATGCGGCTGGGATCCTTCCAGAGCTGAACGAGCCAGGGCAGGGCCAGGGGGTTGGAAAACAGAGATGCTGAGGGTTCCCTCAAGGCCTCGTCTCCAGAGAATTGCCTGCCCTTTCCATTCTTAGCCATGGGAGGAAGCTCTCTGATCCGCAATGCTCGCGACGGGTAAGCCAGGCTCAGCTGGGATTCCTTGGCCTCAGCAGTATTGTGTATCGCGACCCCGGTTTACCTTCCCGGCAGGTTTGGAGGTTGCCAACACTAGGGGGACAGAGCAACTGGCCCACAAGAGAGATTGGTTCTGCCCTATCTGATCGAAGCCGCGACGTGGTGCCAGTTTGCAGCAGCCTGGCGGCGAGGGGGCAATGTACTGCCCCACCTCTTGTTCTGAGCTCTGAGCACTGATCTTCCCGCTGTTTCTTTGTCTTCTTAGAGATGTACGGGAGGGCGATAAGCCTGGCCAGAGCCCTGCACAGCTGGGACATTTGTGAGCCAGCTGGAAGCTAGGCTTGGACCCAGAGGTCCCTTGAGCGCCTAGACTGGCCAGCAGCAACGCCAAACCCACCCAACTCTAACCATGGCCAGAGGAACTTTCTTCATATTGCCAGGCCCATAGATGTGGGAACTAGGAATGCTGGGGGTGCTGCTGCACCCCCTGGCTTGAAGTGGTTTCCGTCATATACAGGGTTTACAGTTTGGTTCACTGGCTCTCAGCACCCCCACGATACAAATTGTTCCAGCACCCCTGCGGCCAGGCCTCACATACAGGGTCTGGCTAAGCCCTGCTCACAGGTCCCCAAGCAGCTCCCGGAGCTGAGAGCAGAGCCGGGACCTGGCTTGGACTACAGCCAGAATCCCACGCTGAGCGAGGCTCTGTCCCAGCTGTGGTCATGCGCAGGGCCAGCTCCTACGTGTTTGGGGTCAGGAGGTCATGAGTTCTAGTCCTGGTTTTCCTCAGGTAAATCACCTAACTATCCTGTGCACCAATGCTCTAGCCCAGGCATAGCCCTGCCCCAGGCTTGTTACCACCAATTACTTGTATTTAAGTGGGGGAAACCCCCACAACAACTGTTACCAGTTGCAGCGCATTAAGCAAAGGAGCAATGATGGTTGGCCGACTAACCAGTAACAACGGGCTGGTTCTAAAGGGCCTCATATCCAGCTGCCCGTGCTTTGCTCTCGTTCCAGTCCATTCCTTGCCAGTCAGAATTTTACTCTGAAGAAACTGCCCACTGCACCCACCACACATGCAACTGCTGTTGAGGTGGGAAATGGCAGCTGTTAAACAGCGAACAACTGCTAGGGGGCAACCTTGCTTAGCGTCTGCTTCTCCCCAGGTAATCCAGGAGTCATCCCGGAAAGGCCCCTCTCCCCTGCAGGGTAGGACTGGGAGAGCTCTGCTGTCACCACATGATCCCTGCCCTTCACAGTGGCCTCTTTAGCAACAGGGATCCCCGTGCCACTGCATGCCTCAATCAGAGGGCATGGGTGTGGAGGGGCCCCTGTTTGCCACTAACAGAGTGGCACTAACGTCTAACACTAACGTCTCTGTCCTGTTGCTTTCCAGACGCCGCTCCCTGACAGCGAATCAGCCCCAGACTGCGGGCAGAGCCGTACGCAGGTGAGTGGGGTAGTCCCTGCTTCGGGAAGCCACCCCCCATCACCGGGGGGCAGTTCGCTGCCCCGGGCAAAGAAAGCAACTCAAAAGGCCCTTGCTGCCTGTTGGTCTGGGAATGCCCCTCCAACCTGCAGGGCATCCCATGGCATCCCTGGACACTGGCTGGGTAGCTGGCAGGAAAGGGAGAGGGAGCTGGGGAGTAGTTTTATCTTGCTGGTTTCCCGTCCAAATGGTGAGCAGGAGTGACCCTGCTTAGCGTGGGAGAGCCAGCATGGAGCGAGCAGTGCTAAAGGCTGATACAGGCAGGGCTAGGGAGGAAGTGCCCAGTCCAGAGCCCAGCTTCTTGACTACTGATGCTTGTTTGTCCCCCAGGCACATGCAGAGAAGGTTTGGAGAGCAGGGAGACTCCTGTACAGCCACCTCGTGAGCTCCTGTCCTGGCCTCATCCGCGATCACAAGTACCACCTCAGGCACCACAGGTGGGACGGCCCTGCTCTGTGGCCATGGCAGTACCTACCAATGAGGGAGCCTCGCAGGGCAGCTCCTGTGTGCCTGGGTATGGACCCTCCTGGAGCCAGGCCTGGACAGACGGGTGGGACGTCACGGCCCCATCCCCAAAGCCAGAAAGGGAGAGACAATCATGGACCCCTGCAGGCCTGGTGCTTCCTACCCGAGAGAATTTAATGTCGCTAAATGTCAGTCACAAAGCAGGGAAAGTGTCCTCCTCCACACAGCCCTGCCCTCCGACCCACTGCCCTGCCCTCCGACCCACAGCCCCTGCAGTACCTGCCCTGGGTCCTCCCCTTCACAGCTCTGCCGGAGCCCCTCAATCCCCACCCACAGCCCCCCCGCTCCCCCCCTGGGCCCCCCCCCTTCGCAGTTCTGCCGGAGCCCCTCGGTCTGACCCTCAGCCCCTGCAATCCCTGCCCTGACTCCCCCTGTCTGCAGCTCTGGTGGTGCCCCTCAATCCCCACTCACAGCCCCCCTGCTATTCCACTCCAGCACTCTCCCTGCCCCCAAGCTCTGCTAGTGCCCCTCAATCCCCACCCACAGCCCTGATATTCCACACAAACCTTTCTTGCACCTTTTCTCCTGCCTCGCTATGCCAGCCCTGGATTCCCCAGGTCACTAGTCTCGTCTCACCCATCCAACGCCCTTTTTCCCCTGCAGGCATTGTTGCTCCGGGAAGGAGCTGGTAGACTGGCTGCTCAGTGCAGGGCTGTCCATCCAAACGCGGGGCCAGGCCATTGGGGTTTGCCAAGTGCTGGTGGATGGAGGAGTCCTGACTCATGGTGAGAATCACAAAGGGTCTGGGTGCTTCCAGGACTCCAGCCACCTCTGCAGTGCCAAGCTGGGAGGAGCAGGCTGGAGAACATATGGAGTGTGGCAGGGTGGACTGGGCTGGGGACTGGGCATGCCAGGCCTGTGTGGGGCCCAAGGGAACAGGGTGGGGCTGGGAGCCATGTGGAGTTTGTCAGGTTGTGGTGGGCCAGGACCCAGCAGGGCAGGATAGGCCAGGGGCTGTGTTGGGTCTGGTGGGGCAGGCTGGGGGCCAGGTGGTGAGGTAGGCTGGGGAATGCATGGGGCCTGCAGGCACGGGGTAGGGCTGGGAACCATGTGGAGTTTGTCTGGGTGTGGTGGGCCAGGATGCAATAGGGAGGGGTGTACCTGGAGGTGAAGGGTGGGCCAAGGGGTGTGGGCTTGGCCAGGTATGGAGGGTGAGATGTGCCAGGGACTGCCAGGAGCCTGGTGGGGCAGGCTGAGGTCACATGGGGTCTGGCAGGGGTGGGACTGGAAACCACGTGGAGTTGCTGGGCCAGGACCCGCTGGGGTGGGGTTGCCAGGAGTGTGAGGAGCCCATGGGATGGGCCAGGGGCTGCATGGATGTGTCAGACTCTCGCCAAGCTCGAGCTCCATGGCTGGGCTCCGTGCTGTGGGGCCAGGGCCCAATTCAGGCTCCTGTCAAGTGTCTGCCCATGACAAGGAGAGCGCAGGGGGAATTGCCTGTGCGCACCCTCCCCTCTCCCCCACGGCACACGCTGACAGTGCCCACTGTGACCCTGGTGTCTGTTCCTACCCCAGCTCACGCTGGCCCTGCTCTCTCACGGGCTCACAGCAGCTCGTGACCTGGTCCAGGCGCGTGCCACGCACGGTGTCGCACACAGGCTGATGCTGCCATGTGGCTCTTTCCCCAGTGAAGCAGGAGTGGCATTTCCAGGACAAGGATGCCCAGTTTTACCGCTTTGCCGAGGGGGAGCTGACTCTGGAGCCTGGCACCTGGGACACTGAGGAGCTACTGGAGGCATTGGCCTTTCTGGCCCAGCTGGGCCCTGATGCGCTGCTCACCATGGCCCTGCGCAAGCCGTGAGTATGCCACATGTGCCCCCATGGCTGGGGGAGGGCTGGGCTGCCCACCAAGAGACCCGCCCTCCCCACGGCTGGGCTGCCCACCAAGAGACCTGCCTCCCCCACGGCTGGGCTGCCCACCAAGAGCAGCTGGGCTCAGTGGGCCTGAGACCCCAGGTGGGGTGTAGAGGGCGTTGAGTGGGCCATCTCCCCGCATTACAACAAGGGTCTGCCTGGATCCTGGAATTGTCCTGCCAGGCTGGAGTACATGTGCATGGTCAATGCCCTCAGCTCCAGATCCTAGACACACAGACCCCCCCCCCCAGACAGAACCTCAGGAAGGGAGCTGTGAGACCCACCCTGCTGCCTGGCCAGGGGCTGCCCTCTGCATGGGACCATGCCCCGCTCAGGGGGCTGCCCTCATGTGAGGTCATGCCAGGGCTGGGGGGAGCTGCCCCGCATGAGGCCGGGCCTGAGTTGGGGGGGGGGGGGGGCCCTCATGGGGTGGGGGTTGCCCAGCTCAGGGAACTGCCCTCTGTGTGGGGCCATGCCTGGCATGGGGATCTGTGCCCCA